CCCGATTAGTGTAAATGGTGCACCAAAGATCCTATATATCGTTCGATTTGCACGAAATTTGGCATAACGTACTGAATTGAACCTAGAATGACGACTGCCAAGTTTCGTGATAATCGGTTCAGATTTAGATATAGCTCGCATATATATTTTCGTCCGATTTAATGTAAATGGTGCACCAAAGTCCCTATATATCTTTCGATATGCGCGAAATTTTGCATGGTGTACTCAATTGAATCTAGAATGACGTGTGTCAAATTTCGAGAAAATCGGGTCAGATTTATATATAGCGCCCATATATATTTTCGTCCGATTTAAGGTAAATGGGACTACAAAGTCCCTATTTATCTTTTGTTTCGCACGAAATTTGGCATAGGGTACTGAATCAGGTCCAGAATGATATGTGCTTAATTTCGTGAAAATCGGTTCAGATTTAGATTTAGCTCCCATATACATTTTTGTCCTCTTATATATTTGTTCGCTCATGACAAGTGTATTTACAGAAATTTTGTGTTTCTTTCTGTATTTGAATTCATATTTAAAGTTGCTGTTGTTCATGGGGATTTTCGTGCCTTTGAGATGGAAATCTGTCCCTACCATAGCTCGTGTGTTTAGTTTCAAGAAAATCGGGTTAGATTTAGATTAAAGTTCGTTCAATTGCATGTCAATGTTCCTTCGAAAAGGCGACGTCTGTTAGGATACATATGTAGAATATACCCAAAGTGTTGTAGGGTATCATATAGTCGTCCCAGTCCGACTTTACTACTTTTCTTACTGGTTGAAAAATATTTTTTTCAATGGCTATCACAAGGCGGGATTTTTTAACAATATTTTTCCATAGCTATCACAATGCGTGGATCTTTTAAAACTAATTTTTATTCAATTTTTAATTTTTGCATGATCGCTTATTTAAAATCATATTGAAAATGTTCGTGGAATAAAAAATTCAAATTAATTGGGCGCCACCTAAAAATATAAACAAATAATCTCTCAGAAATGGAAAGTCTTTTAAAATTGATCTTAGTTATAAATATGCAAATAAAATGCGACTTCTATGAGCGAATTTCTCAGATAACCATCAAATTATCAAATAACACAGTTGATGCTTAAATTTCATCTCGAATGTGAATGTGAATTTGCTGGGAGACTAAGCGCATTTCTTTTTCTTTTATTCTTTAACTTTTTCTTCTATAAAATTAGCATGTCTAATATCGAAGGCATGCAATAATAAAAAAATACTACAACTTTTATTTTCACTTTCAAAAAAACGAACAACAATAAAATTGCTGCTATTGCTTTAGTTTTTCCACGTTTTTTTTTTTCTCCTCTGAAACTGTCACTTTTGTTATTAAACAAATTATGATATGATTGTTTGTCATCATGGTGAGCAACAATAATAACAACAATCACGGTGACATGATTTTTATGTGAAGGCAATAACAAAAAAAAATTGTTGCCCACTCCCACCTTGTCATTGTTCCAGACCCAAACAATAACAACACGTGAGAAAACCTTTAACCGTAACGGTAAAAGAGCAAATGCTGATCTTGGCTTCCCTTTTGAAATGACTGGAGACAATTTGTGGGTTATTTTTCATTCCAACCAACCAACCAGCAACAATGACTAATAGTTATGCGAAATAAAAAAATAAACAAAAAACAGAAAGTAAAGTAACAGGAGAAGTTTGAGGAAAAAACGGGTAAGACTTCAGACATGACTGCTGAAAGAGTTTGAAAACAATTTTCACATACAATAGTTGTTTGTTGGTATTGTAATTTCGGCCTTTACGTCAAATTACAACATAGACCTGACTACTCAAATTTAACCTATGTCATAGATGTTGTGCTATTTTGAGTCAACTCACACTACAGCCTATTTGTTATACACTGTGAAGGTTTATAGGTGTGTGTGGTCCCAATAGGTTGTAACGGGCGAAATTGTGGTCCTAGACACCATTCATGGTCATATCAGCAGTCGATTCGATCTAGACATGTGTCTAGATCTGTCTATCCAGTTAGGGAACAATCATCCGGTTCGAACCAAAACAGACACCTATTTAAAGGAACCCAATGGACCAAAAACTGCTTTGTCTGAACGAACCGTCACGTAATATTTACTATGGAAGGAAATTTCGCTAAAGAATAATTGTGTATGTTTTGATGTAGAGCGGTAAATATTTAGCGGATCAAAAGGACCAAATCTTTCGTATAAATGGAGTATATATTCTATGGAGTATATATTTACCCAGAAGGACTTCTGTCGAAGACGTTGACCGTATATCCAAGAGGAGTGGTTGACCCTTAAATTGATACTAAGTATAAATTTGTACTTGGATGCGGTCTACGTATTCTGATATTGTTTAGTATTACCAATACCGCACTAGATCGCGGATCAAGTACGAAGCCTATAGTTTTCGGTGGTGATCAGATGCTATTCAGGGTATGCAATGGATGGATTTTTTATACCTTCACCTCACTGTGGTACAGGGTATTATGTCTTTGTACATTTGTTTGTAACAGGCAAAAGAAAACGATATAGACCCATAGTTCATTTTGAGAATATGCATAGAATCACTTTCTGAGTCGATTCATGCATGTTCGTCTGTCCGTCCGTCTGTTGATGTTTTAGATTTAGATATAGCTCAGATATATAGTTTCGCCGGATTTAATGTAAATGATACACAAAAGTCGGTGCAAATCTTTCGATTTGCACTATTTTTGACACACAAAAAACTTACAGCGAAGCTTATCTAAGCTGACAAACCCCGTTACACTTTGACAAAAGTCATTTTTTACCCTTTAAGGCGGCTGGTATGTCTTGGATCTGTTGCTAACAGTGCCGAGTGTTCCTCGAGGATACCATTCACTCTATATTCTCGAATTACTTCCTCAACTGCATCCATCGACCTTCATATTCAAAGGTAGCCGTGTGGCCATTGACATCGTGGCGGATATTTTTATATTCCTCGTATAGAAACCTACCAAAGATATCATAAACTTTTGGCTTAGATGAACGAGATGGAATTCCAAAGGTAGAGATAAGACAGCTGCGGAGATATATATCCTCGTTGGGTAACTCCCTGTTTCATCCTTCCTGCTTCAATGTTTCAAACTTGACTGAAGGGTAGTTTCTTCGAAGTCCTCGAACAGTTTCTCGTGATTGACGTTATGAAAGAACAGGGGCCCGCAAAACTGTTCTATCGCAGAACAAGCTTTTTGTTATATGCCCGGAAATTGCTTGAAAATTGTTACTGAGCGGTAGCTTGAGAGTATCGATGCCTCAAGCTACTGGCGATAAAAATGAGATCTGCTTATAGGATTCATCTTATCTGGAACCCTTGCCTAGCTTCATCAACGGAACTACCCTGCCTATTTTCAAGACTTCAGGACTTATAAGGTGACGAACGACAAATTAAGGATATAAATTAGGTGCTCTACTCCTACAATACAACGCAATAGTCTTTTTTTTGTCCATTCGCTCTCGTGGTAATAACTCGAAAAATCATGATGAAAATCCTTGATATCATTTTTATTTCCGGCTACTTCAGAGTATTTTTGAGAGGACATGTCTTCAGTCAAATCGAACGAGGAATATTTGTGTAAAACATTTCCTTCTTCTCGAAATAGATCGCAATAATTAAGATAGAGCTCTTTGCTGAATCGTTGCTAGTACTTCTAGGATATTTCGTATTGCAAATAGGGTAAATCGGTCTACATTTTGGTATACCAAATGGGGGTATAGGCACCCCGAATATTCTGTATTTTGGGGTCGTTGGGTACGATTTTTAAACCGAACTGGTTGGAAGTATATTTTTTGTATTCTCATTGGGTGCAAAATTTCACAAACAAAAACCAGTAAGGAAAGCTCAAAAGTCGGACGGGACCGACAATATAAAACCCTTCACCACATTGGATACATACAAGACATGTTAATATATACAATGCCCTGTAGATAGAACAGACATATAATCTTTAGAGGACCATTGAAATGGAATCGGGCGAAACCAAATGCGTGATCTACATAGATATTCGAACCAATTAAAAAACCCATATACATACCATTCTGAAATCTGTTAAAGACTGCATTTCAATCGGATTCATTGGTGTACCATTTGTATGAAATCGAGCAAAATAATGTATGTGAAGCTATACGTAAATCAAAATCGGACGAAACTATATATGGGAGCTATATCTATATCTGAACCGATTTCAACAAAACTTCAGGGGCATCATGCTGTCTGTACCCTGTGCAAAATTTTGTTTCATCAGACAAATATTGGGAGTTTAGTGCACCTTTTACCAAAAATCGGACAAAACTATATATGGGAGCTATATCTAAATCTGAACCGATTTTCACAAAACTTCATATACATCAATATGTACCTAATTCAGTACGCTTTACAAAAGTTTGTTTCAATCGGACAAATATTGGGTGTTTGGTGCACCATTTAGATAAAATCGGACTAAAAAATGTATGGGTATTTCGGTATTTCGTTTTCTCCTCAATGAAAATTTTTAGGTATTTTGAATATTCACCTCATGTTGGAGGGTATGAATAGTTCGACCCGGCCCAACTTAACTTCGATTTTTTACTTGTTGTACCTCCAAATATTTTACAAAAATGTCGTTCATAAGTTTTAAATATAAATCAATATTCATATGTTTTCATTGTCCTTATCCCCGTTTACCCGATACTTGCTCGAAGATCCTCAGAAGCTCTATTCTGTGTCACAGTCTATTTAGACTTTGTTTATCATTCACCCAAACCGATCTTATCCATCACTGTATACTTATTTGAAATACCACATTTTTGCGTAAATTTATGTAACAACTATTTGCCACAACAGGTTACAGTTATTCCATTTGTGAATTATTTATATTACAAAGAAACAACATTACAATTTATAATTTTTGCCATAATAATAAAATACAATTACAACAAGTCAACCAAGCAATACTAATAAATTTCATATCTCCCCACTTCTATCTCTCTTTCACAGATGTTCCAACACCATCGGCATACACTGCGGATACGACACATGAGTATATTTTTGTTGTTGCTACTCTATTTGTCACAAATAAAAGCCTGGAGGCCATGTGTAGAATTGAGTCCAGCTTTGCGTTTACCCTGCAGGTGTGTAGAAAACTCAGAATAAATATAATTTTTGAAAGAAGAAAAAACAGACAACAACAAGAGGAATGCTGATCAGACAAAGACCACAAGCCAAAACGTCAAAACATAACTATAAAACTAACCAACGCACAGTTAACTGTCAACGCACACACAGCATCGTTTGGCTCTAGAATATGAAAACAAGAAAAAATCAACTATGCTAATATGGAAGCTATAAAAAATACTAAGGAATTTCGAAAAAATCTACAACAACAACAAAAATTAGTAATAAAATCCAACTTGAATGAATGAAAACCACTAGTGCCACATCAAAAGCGTTTTTGTTTTTTTCTAAACGAACAAAAACAATTTCCGCCTATATGGTGGAGATTGATTTTCAATCGATTTTATGTTGTTGTTTTTGGTTTGTTTTTTTTCTATTTTGTCTGTTCCTCTTCAATGACGTTGTGTTTTTTCATCGTTTATTTTTCGTATTGATTTTTTTTTAATTTTTTATTTCATTTTGTTTTGTTTGTGTGTCGTTTTCCTTCATAGATGCAATGTTGTTGCTTTTGGCTCAACGGGACAACTTGGTGCTGTGGCCATGGATTGTGATCGTGCGGTATTTCATGGTGAAGCTCCTCTACTGCCTTACGGTGCTCCCATTGTTTACTATTCACAGCAATACAGTGGCCAACAAAATTTACCAACACAGGTAAGTTTGTTTTTGTTGTTAATTTTGCTTTACTACAGATCAGAGGCTGAAGCCATGGCAAGAGGAAAATCTCCATAATTTTCAGGACGTTTTTCTATCGTAAGCTTCTTACCGATGAAATATTTTGTGTCAATATGGTATAACTCCATAATATTCGGTATTTTAAGCACGTCTAGCTTGAAGACGAAGTGGCTCTAACTTAATGCCAAATCTTCCTATCAAAAATTACCAAGTTTTGGTAAAGCCTCCATACATCCATACATCGGTCGATGTTTGGTTATAACCGAATTGACTATATTTTAGCATTACGAACAACTTCTTCACAGAAAATTTTCAAAATGAGTCAATGGTTTTAAATGTACTCTATATAAAGGACACGAGGAAATATCGGTCCTATCCCAATGCTTAATTACTTAGCTTAAAACAATTCCCAAGCGAATCGATTTGAAAGATCATGTTCCGAGATGTTTTTCGGATTCGTCCTTTCCCTTCTGCGTGACCCATCACTTGGCTCGCTTTTATATGCCTTTTGAGCTGGGGCATCATCATCCATTCTCAGAACATGACCTAGCAAATGAAGTCGCTGCACCTCGCTACGTTGGACTATGTCGATGCCCAAAAATAGATTGTACAGCTCATGGTTCATTCGACGACGATATTCACCGTCGACGTAGATCGACCCAAGGAACTTCCGGAGAATTTTTCTCTCAAGATCCATACAACAGCACGTGTGTATCAGCGTCTTTGTAGAGTGTGAGTTTGGTCTGGCAGGAGGTGGCCTTGCTTTTGAGTTGCTCAGACCATAGTCTGATGTTCGATATCATCGGCGTAGGCGAGTAATATGCGTTGTTTGGTGTACAGAGTGCCATATATGTTCACCTTTGTCTCTCGTATGACCTTACCCAGGCGGATGTTAAAAAGATCACACGACAAATTATGACCTTGTCTTAATCCTCGTTCGGTATTGAAGAAAGTTTCTTTCTGACTTTAACTGCTGACCTTGTGCCCGTTAATGTGCCCGAATGTGTCGATGTGCTTTACGTGGTCCTTTACAGAATCTGACGCAGAGTGAAAATCTAGTCAATTTCCAGGTTTGAAGCCGCATTGGTATGGTGCAATAATGTCATTGACCATTGGATTCAGTCGTTCACACAGCACGCAGGATAGCAATTCATATGCGATGGGAATGAGACTTATTCCTCTATAGTTGGCACATATAGTTGTCTTGTATCCTTTTTTGTGCACGGGACACAGGGTGCTGAGGTTCCAATCCTTGGGCATGTATTCCTCCAGCCAAATTGTACTTATCAGTTGGTGCATGCTGGTCCTGATCAGCGTCTATACACCGGACTTGAACAGTTCGGCTTGTAATTCATCGGCACCTGTTGGTTTATTATTCTTCAGCCAATTAATTGCTATTCTGACCTCATCTTGGCTAGGTGGTATACAATCTATACCGTCATCTCTTATTGGATCTGGAGTATTTTCTATATCGTTTTTATTTGATACCAGAAGCATTGCAAAATGCTCTTTCCAGATCCTCAACACGCTATCTGTACCTGTCACCAGGTTTCCTTCTTCGTCTCTTCTGTGTCTGCACCAAAGCCTTCGGTTTGTGTTTTACTGTTTTACTCGTTGGTAACTTCATTCTGACTCCTGTACATCTCGATTTGCTCACGCCCACGTTCTTCTTGTCCTTCTTCTTTCTTTTGAAAATACGTTTCTCCTCTCTCCTTTTATCCCAATAATTCTCCATAGCATTACGTGTTGCTACCGTCTGCAGGGTTGCCCTATACTCTGCATTTTTCACATCAGTAGTATTACGACACTCCTGATCATACCATGGGTTTCTTGATGCTGGTATTTGGTAACCAAGTGTTGCTTTTGCTGCAATTTGTGGGGAGTGTGTAATACTTCGTCATTGTGATTCTATATTCATATCAGGAAAGAAGTGCATATCAGTCAAGCAAGTGGGTAAAAGGCAATAAGGCTTTGTACTTCTTGAGTACATCTGCCGAACACTGCGCCTCTTCTGTGCAACGTGCGCACATTCCAAGTGCAAATTCGCAGATCATGGTCCTTTTTACGTCATTATTAGGGGTTTGGTTTTTTTCATAGTAGGATGAATTTTCCGAGTGTGGGCAACTAATCCGACGCCTCAACCCATTTTTTTGTAGTTGTTATGGGTGAACTCGCGGCACATATCAGCTCACTATATCAAAACATGGCCAATATTGATAACTTCGTACATAGATACATACCATGCTATGTGTGTGTCACCCGCAAGAACCCGGAATCAAAAATAATTTTCCCTTCTTTAAGGAGAAGACCCGATAATGGCGGCCCGTTTTCATCTTCTCATATTTTATACCCTCCAATAACCGGTATCAGGTAGGCTCCTTAAAATGTACTGCCCTAATTATTATGGCAAATTTTGGTACCAATTCGTACTATCGGTATCAAAAAATATTTTAAATATTGTACTAAAATGTTGATGTACAATTTTGTATAAGAGTATAACATTTTATAATTTCCCCAGAGACCTCCCAGTAAATTCGTGTTTGTGCCATAAGTCTTTTGTTTTCACAAGTACTACTTCCAAGAAAGTTATGAATGTTTCTTGTAATATTTGCCAATAACAACAACAAGCATAAAAAATACTCTTAATTACTTAAGCGATTAATAAACAACAAAAATAATTATTTAAGAGATTGATCCGGCATTGGCACACATTCCAACAATAATTACATACCGACATACACATGTCTGCTTCAAATCCACATGTATGTCCGAATGTGGGTAGAGATAACACTTTGTTAAGTGTGTTAATATTCTTAGGCCATGTGGTGTATAACATATCTGAGTTAATTTCTTCAAAATGAAAAAAAAAACAAAACTTTTCACTTTCATCAGAGTTACCAGCTGAGTGTAAATGTGGATACGTGTGTGTGTGTTTGTGTTGGTGTGTTGGTCTTAAGATCCAAGTGAAAGTGTTGTAAAGTAAGAAATTTACTTTCATTCATATTTTTGTTATTGTTGTTGTTTTTTTCTTATTTTTACCTTTTCTTCTCTTCTACATTTCAGTGGTCGTTTTAAGCATCACACACAGATAGACAGACCGGCACACACACATCGATGTTTATCTCTACAGAAAACCAAAAATGATTTTAACTTCAAAGTACTTGTTTTGTTTATTTTTGTCGTTGTTGTTGTTTTGTATTTTATTTTTGTAAAGTCCATTGAATTTATGCGCATCACTGGTAGTAGTATGGCCAGCGACAGATATCATTGTCTGCATCGGAGATGATAACGAAATCTAGACGTTGTAAACCAAAATGAAATTGTCGTATTGGAAGGGAGGGGAGGTGCCGCGGAAAAGGGAATATAATACTGAATGACGTGTGTGACTAAGCTTAACACGAAGTAAAAGTTTATTACTTTGTGAATGTAGATTTTTTATTTTATTTATTTTTTTTGTGGTTGTTGCAGCAGTAACAGTCTTTAGAAGTCTATTTTAAAATTTTATTTCGTGTCTACGAACAATTTATAACTTAATTAATTTTGGAGTTTTTGTTTCACTTTTAATTTCATTATAACCCTCAATCCCCCTCACCCTTCCCTCACTATAAAACCATTAAAAATGACAATGCCAAGGGAGAAAACTTCATTTTTTATGATTTATTTTGAAATTATCTCTCAATGATCTTCAAGATTTTTGTTTTAATTTTGCTTTTGTTTATTTTCGTTGTTGTTATTGTTCATTTAATTTTTTCATCTTTTAATTAAATTAAATTTTGTACTGCACACCCCACTACTGCAGCAACGAGTGTCGGACATGGTCACATTGTTTGAGGTCGTGTTTCTTTTGTTGCTGTTGCTGCTGGAGGTGTTAGGGTCTATGCTGTTTGGTGCTATGGTCTGTGCTATGTTTGCTGCTGGTGCTATTCAAATAACCTTGACTTTATTTGAATTTTTGCCCGAGTGTGTACTCGTATATGGTTGTGCATTGTTAATGTCTGCATCTGTTGGATGGTGTCAGCTAAAATAGGAACAAAGTCTTTTTGAACGTGAATATAAAAATTGACAGTTAACATTGTTGTTGTTTTTTTTAAGTCTTGGTGGTTGATTTTTTGTTTCGGTTTTTATAGTTGCCAATTAATCTAATAGGATTCGTGGTTGGAAATTTAATTTCGAAAAAATTATGTGTGAGAAGAACAATTGTTCATAGGTTATAAAAAATTGCATGGGAATAATGTATAGCTATTAAAAAGAGAAGGCTCTTATTCGAAACAGGGGATTAAAACATTGAGATCATTAAAGTCAGAGGGAAATTGGGATATTCTTACGGTTTGATTTCATCTAATCTAAAGGTTTTGACTGGCTTCTAAATTTTAATACACACCAGTAAGGAAAGTAGTAAAGTTGGATGGGTTCGACTATATGATACCCTTCACCACTTTGGGTATATACAACAGATGCATTCTAACAGACATCGATTTTTTGAAGGTCCATTGGCATGAAATTGGATGAACTAAAATATGTGATCTATAAATAATCTATATAAATCCGTAAACATGTCATTCTGTAAACTATACTCTAAACTCTTCATTTTGGTAGATAGAGAATGAGACAAAACTATGTAAATCGATTTAAAGATAATCTCAATCAGACACTCGTTGATTATACGAAACCCAATAAACATGAAATCGGTCGAATTGAATTGGGCCATGTCTGCATTGATACAAAAAAAAAAAAACAATTAAGTCATTCTATACTAAATTTGACACGTTTTGCAAAATTTCCCGTCAATCTGATAAAAATGAGTAGTTTTTACTTAAAATCTGACTAAAAAATTAATGGAAGCTATATCTAAACCAATTTCAAAGATACTTTTCACAGTTTTGGTTAAATACTAATTTCAGCACGTTCTGAGCATATCGGCCAAATATTGGGTCCTTGGTGCATTATTTAGTTAAAATCTGAGGAAAAAATATATAGGAGCTATATTCATCAAATCTTAACCGATTTGAACGAAACTTGCAGCACCTTGACTATACCATCTTCAGTATATTGTGCAAACTTTTTTACGAATCGACCTAACAACATTGGGTCTTTGGTGCACCATTAACTTAAAATCGGACGAAACAATATCTGAACCGATTTCAATGAAACTATACTTAAGTTATACAAACTTCAGTACGTTGTGCAAAAATTTGTGCCAATCCGTTTAACTTTGCGTCTTTGGTGCTCCATTTACTTAAAATCGGACAAAACTATATATGGGAGTTATATCTGAACCGATTGCAACGAAACTTGCCACAAATTAGGTTATACTAATTTCAGTACGTGTTGTGCCTATCGGCCATATTTCCTTAGTGCATCACTTTCTTAAAATCGGAGAAAAATATATATATGGCAGCTATATTTAAATCTGAATCGATTTTCAAGAAACCTAACACACATCATTCTAGACTTTATTCAGTACGCTATGCCAAATTTCATGCAAAACGACTTTGATGCACCATTTACATTAAATCGGACGCAACAATATATGGGAGCTATATCCAAATCTCAACCGATTTTCACGAAACTTAACACACATCTGAATTAAGTCTAGATGACTTAATTCAGTACGCTATGCCAAATGTTGTGCAAACCGAATAATATATAGGGACTTTGTTGCACCATTTACTTAAAATCGGATGAAAATATACATGGGAGCTATTTCGAAATCTGAACCGATTTTCACGAAACTTAAAACACATCATTCCAAATTTCGTGCAAATCGAAAGCTAAATAGGGACTTTGGCGCCCCATTTACATTAAATCGGACGAAAATATATATGGGAGCTATATCTAAATCTGAACCGATTTCCACAAAACTTAGCACACTTCATTCTAGACTTTATTTAATACACTATGCCAAATCGAAATATATTTAGGGACTTTGGTGCACCATTTACATTAAATCGGACGAAAATATATATGGGAGCTATATCTTAATCCTAATCGATTTTCACGAAACATAACACACATCATTCTAGACTTAATTTAGTACGCTATGCTAAATTTCGTGCAAATCTAAAGATAGTTAGGGACTTTTTTTTTGTTTTTGCAAAATAGTCAGGCTGAATCCCAGTTTGTTGTTTTTATAAAAAACAACTATTTATTAGTGGGGAATGTATGGCATTGTTTGCCGAGGGGTAAGGCAGGGAAGACTATAGTTTCGGATCACACTGATCCTCATCAGTTCCCTTAGTTTTTTGTTGGGATATTCTCCCCAGAAGCTATTGCTTCTATACAAAAAACCTTTCATACCCAAATGTCTCTTGTAACAAATCGAAGTACTTACCTGACCAACGACATAAACAGCATGAGAATTTCGCTGGTGCCTCACTTCGAGGTTAGCAAGGCATTTACAAACAATTCCATACCTTTCCCACTGTTGTGTGTTGCCACATCGCGGCAAATGCACACAACGACTTTGTTGGTGTTGCTAGTTTCACCGTGCCTGCGTCTACAACTTCAGTAGTGTTGGCGGTTTATTTGGGATACCATTTGTTTTTTGTTTTTGCAAAATAGTCAAAAACTATTTTGCAAAAACAAAATGCAAATGGTATCCCAAATAAACCGCCTACACTACTGATAGTTAGAGACTTTGCGCACCATTTACCATAAATCGGACGAAAATATGTATGGAAGCTATATCTATATCTGAACCGATTTTCACGAAACTTAACACACATCATTCCAGTCTAAATTCAGTACGCTGTGTTAAATTTCGTGCAAATCGAAATATATATAAGGACTTTGGTGCACCATTTACATTAAATCGGACAAAAATATATATGGGAGCTATATCTAAATCTTAACCGATTCCAACGAAACTTTACACGTGTTGGGCTATACTACCTTCAGTACGTTCTGCTAAATTTCGTATCAATCGGCATAACTTTAGGTCTTTCTGAACCATTTGACCCGCTAAATATTGACCGATTGTTAAAACAGACATGCTTATTCTTTGGCCCGATTCCCTTCTCCATGTAAAAATTCGCGATGTTTGGGGGCTCTGGAGCGACCAGCAAATCAGACAAAAATAAAAGTTTTTGGTCCATTTCAACCCCTAAATATTAAACATCTTTACCAAAAACAATAGGGCTCTTCATTGGCCAGAACCCATCCGACATGCAAAATGAAGATTGGTCCATAACTGTGGCCTGTATCGTGTTTACAAATTATAATGGACAGACGGACGGACGGACAAACATGTATAGATCGACTCAGCTAGTCGAGATATGACAATCGTATACTTAAAGATGGGTCTAGGACCAATATTTTGTGGCGTCTTGGGCCGAACAAAGCTATAATACCCTGACAACATAGCTGTGTAGGGTATAAAAATAAGTACAAAACTTATTACAAGTATAATACCTGAAGTTGTGTCGATTTTTTTCATTAGTATTCCTACTACATTGGGTAATCCTAATAACTGCGGAATATCAGCGAATTTTCATCCAATATTCAAAATAATTCACTACAAATTAGTTTGAGATGTTCAATACTTAAAAAGTAATAATTTTAATAAAAAATTAAAATAATTATTATATAAAGCATGTATATACAAAATTTAATTAACCGCAATAAAACATTGTCTTTTAATTTCCTTACAGCACTTTGGCAACTTAAATCTGCCCATCGAACATTTGGATTTATCATTTAATCTGATACGTCGCATTCCCGAGAAGGCCTTCGAAGGCATCAAAGACACATTGACGGCACTGCGTTTAGCCAACAATTTATTGGGCGATAGTTTAAATCCAATCTTTTCAACGGCTGAATTTCATCCATTGAAGAATTTACAGCTATTGGATTTATCGGCAAATAAAATCAAATCTATTGAGGAGGGTTTGTTGAAGGGGTGCGGTGAATTGAAGGTCAGTATGGCAATTATCACATTTTTTAAATAATAATTAAAAAAAAGTCAATTAATTAAAACGACTTGTTACCACCTAGTTCGATTTAATTATAGAGATATAATGTGCGGGAAATTTTATAAGCCAACAAGTTAAAAAAATAATATAATTAAAATTAATATAATAATGCCTTCTAAAATGGTCCAATAAACTAGTCTACAATAAAACCCTTTTCAATCCCTGACAACGTTTTTGGACAATTTATCCATTTCCAGCCCACTGTGCTGGGCTCATTAGAAGCACTCCTAATGTATTTTATTATTTTTATGATGATTAAATTAACAATTCGTTAGAGTATCTGTTTAACCACTTGAAGGTGTTTTTGTTTCATTTTACTGCATCTATTTTTTTATGTTTTACCTTATTACCAATACCATCTACCCGCAACATAAAAACCGTTTAAACGGAGCCAGCCATCGGCCACCATCAGCAGCACACCTTTATAGCCATTGGCCACAACGAAAATCCAGTTAGTTTAACAGACAACAGCAACAACAACACATATGCATGAGATTAACCAGTTTCTTCCAAGCAACGTTTATTACACTGTTGTTGTAACAATTGCTGCTGTTGTTGTGGTTGTTGTTGTAATAACATCGCAATAACCTGGACAAGCAAAGTATTGCAAAGTCTTTAATGTTGGCTTCTCTTAATTAGGGAATGAAATTTACAAAATTTGAAACGAATATTAATTGTACAGTGGGACCTATCTAAGTATTAGTTATGGAGGCATTTACTTGTATGTTGTAGAAAAAGGGTACTTCTGACCAAAAAGAATTGATATCGGTCCACGGTATTACTTATCATAATAACCTTCATATTCGGCATTCTGTCAGGATTTCAGATATGTTTTTCAACCGAATTTTTTACAGTTTGAAATTTGGATATCGGTCCATATTGTATATGTATAAGACCCATATTACTGTACCCCCAATATCCTGTATTTAAAAGATTTCAGATATGTTTTTTTTTTCAACTGAATTTCCTCCAATTTGAAATTTTGGTATATCCTTTTCCAGCCGATTTGGCCTAATTTGATATTTTGAGTCCTCATTGGGTGGCAAATTTTCTACCAAAAATTATAAATATCGGTCGATATTTGGGTATAGTCCCCATATAAAAGTCCACACTCTAGGTATTTTGTATGATTCCAACCGAAGTGACTACTTTTTGTGATTGCGAAGTGGCTGCAAGTTTAAGGTCCTAGCCCAATTTCTCTACCATTTCGTACTTCCCCGACAGTAATTTACCATGACATAGCCCCCATATAAAGTCGCTATCGAATTAATGTATATTGATTGTCCACCTTATGGTGGATGGTATAAGAATTTCGAGAATTTCAGCCGAACATAAAGCTGATTTTATACCCTTCACCATACTGTGGTACAGGGTATTATGTTTATGTGCATATGTTTGTAATAGGCAAAAGGAAACAAGAGAATATGCATAGAATCACTTTCTGAGTCTGATTTATGCCTGTCCGATTATCCGTCCGTTTGTTGATGTTAAATTGTAAACAAAGTATAGGTCACATTAAATGAAATTTGGTAAAGCTCATTTACTTGGTCCAAGGACGAACCCTATTAAAATTAGTGAAATTCGGTTAAGATTCAGATATAGCTCCCATATATATTTTGGTAAACGGTACACCGTTCGATTTCCATGAAATTTAGCATAGCGTACTGATATGAGTCTAAAACGATATGTGCCAAGTTTCGCTATAATCGGTTCAGATTTATAAATAGCTCCAATTTGGGTTCATCCGATTTTTGTAAATGGTGCACCAAAGTCCCTATGTATCTTTTGATTTGCACGAACTTTTGCGTAGCGTACTCAATTAAGACTAGATTAATGTTTGCTAAGTTTCGTAAAAATCGGTTCAGATTTAGATATAGCTCCCATATATATTTTCTCCCGATTTCATGCAAATGCTGCACCAAAGTCTCTATATATCTTTCGATTTGCACGAAATTTTGCGTAGCGTACTCAATTAAGACTAGATTGATGTTTGCTAAGTTTCCTGAAATTCGGTTCAGATTTAGATATAGATTCCATATGTATTTTCTTCCGATTAAAGGTAAATGGTGCACCAAAGCCTCTATATATCTTTCGATTTGCACGAAAATTTGCATAGCGTACTGAATTTCAAGTAAATCGGGTCAGATTTATATATAGCTCCCATATATATTTTCGTCCGATTTAATGCAAATGGTGCATCAAAGTCCCTATATATCTCTCGATATGCACGAAATTTGGCTCAGCTTACTAACTTAAGTCTAGAATGATTTGTGTTAATTTTCATGAAAATCGTACGGATTAATAGAAATGGTGCACCAATTTCGTTCAATTTCATGTCAATGTTCTTTCGAAAAGTTGACGTCAGTTAGGATAATATGTAGAATATGCCCCAAGTGGTGAAGGGTATCATATAGTCGGCCCAGTCCGACTTTACTACTCTCCTTACTTGTTAATAAATGTCTGCGTATTGATCCGAATTTGACTCATCTAACTGGTTTGTAATTTGACATTCCAGACTCCTAATGTTTTTATTAGAATCGAATAATACATTGGTCCCGCCCTATTTCAAGTGTGCTATTCTATATGGTTGCTGAACATTTGTTTTTTTTATAAAAAAAAACTTAGTAACTGCAGATACATTTTTCTCTTTAATGAAGGCACTTTTTAATCTGAATGTTTTCTATCTCATTCATTGGGAACAATTTTTCTCCAGAAGAAAACTAATTTTTTTTAAGAAAAAAAGTGAAAAAAATTTATACATGTTCATTCATTCAACTTTCCATATCTCGAAGTAACAAAACTGACCTCCGATAACGTTATAAACCAAAACCATTTCCATGGCATGCTTACAAATTTCCGAAAATCATAAAAGTTGATTCTTTCTATTTTTTCTTCATTGAAAATGCACTTCAAATAAAGTTTTGATTTAATTATGGCGGCATTCGACCAAGTCTAAATCAATGCGTGCGTGCATGTGCAAGTTTTGATTAAATACAATAACCAACACATCAACAGCAGCAATCAACGCCACCACCACCACTAACTCTGTTATTAAATCAATGAACTAAAAAATTCAATTCGATACTTATTAATAATGAATGCCGAAGCAATTACAGCAACAACAATTTAAAAAAGCCGCAATCAAAACAACAGCTGTTATACACGCGATAATAAATAATTTTTATAGACACGAAATGATTTTTGGTGTTCAATAAAAACAACAACAATAATCTTAATAAAATATACTAAAATAAGAAGAAGTGCGTCGCTTTAATTAACAAGTGCATACCACCAGCCTATGACCTTATATATGACATATGACTACTGAAAACTTTGACCGGTGATGGAGAAGGAATAATTGGCTGGCAACAGCTATAAATTTCGGAAAATTTTCTAACAAACTGCATTTTAAATTGTGCCTATTTTTTGGTAAATCTACTTTGAAACACAGGTGTAGTCTCAATATGAAATTCTCAAAAATTATTATTGGTCTATGTAGGGCTTATATCTACGGAACAAACGGAATGACTAGAAAATAAGTCACCTACCTTAGCAAATGTCAACTGAATTGTTTTGGGTTTATGTGGTCAATATTCTGTAGATAGAAAAAACATAGCATATCTGAAGGGCCATTGACATACTATTTGTATAAAATCAAACAAAATTATTTATGAGAGCTATATAAATCTAGACCGATATAAAGCATACCTGACACCAACCATTCGGTATGCATTAAATCGTTCGGAAATACATAGGGGTTATATATACGCGTGAACCGATTTCAACAAACCCTAACACACAGTTCAAAGAGCTATGCAACATCTCGAAACTATTTTGGGTCTTTGGTGAACCATTTACATAAAATCAGACGAAAAATATATGGGTGTTATATCCAAATCTGAATCAATATTATTGTTGTTTTCATTCTTTAGTCCACATATTGCGTGTACAACATTTCATTAAGCTTGAAAAACTCCGTCTATATTGTCCAGTGTAACAAGCACCCGGAATCACTATACTATACTTACTTAGCTGGCCCGAGGCAGAACATTTGTTCTATAAGCCGAGCTTAAAAAAGATTTCCAGACGCATTGGACTTGTGCGCAGCTCTTCGAGTTTGAAAGACCATGTTCCAAAATGTTCTCTTTCACTTTATCTTGCCATCTACTTCGTGGCCTTCCCCCTCTGCGTGAGCCATCAGTTGGCTCGCTTCATTTATATGCATTATGTGCTGGCACATCCTTTTCCATTCTGACAACATGACCCAGCCATCGTAGTCGCTGCAGCTCGACACGTCTGACAATGTCGATGTCCGAGAATATATGGTATAACTCATGGTTCATTCAACGGCGATAACCGTCAATGGAGATCGGCCCATAGATCTTTCAGAGAATTTTTCTCTCAAATAGTCCAAAAGCTGCTTCAACTGCTGTTTGGTGTACAAAGTGTCATTTCTGTTTACCTTTGCCAGTCGTATGATCTTTTCCAGCAGTGTTAAAAAGGTCGTAAACCTGCATAGCCGTATCAATTTTGCAGGAATGGCAAAAGCTGGAATGGCTTTAAACACCTCTGAACAGAAAGGGCTGTCGAATGCAGCTTTTGTAGTGGAGGAATAGGTGGAATGTGTCGTTTGTGGTTCTTTTCCAGGACTTGGTGTAGAGTGAAAATCTGGTCAATTGTGGATTTGCCAGGTATGAAGCCGCACAGTACGCTGGATAGCACTTTATATGCGAAGGGAAGGAGACTTATTCCTCTAGAGTTGGCACATATCGTCTTGTCTCCTTTTTGGTTCACGGGACACAGTATACTGAGGTTTCAATCATTGGGCATGTATTCCTCTATCCAAACTGTACTACACAGCTGGTGTATGCTCCTCTTGAATAGTTCGGCTGGTAATCCATCGGCACTTCTTGGATATCCTCTTCACCGCTACTATTTGATACCAAAAGTTTTTTAAAGTACTCCTTCCAAATACTCAACACGTTGTCTGTATCTGTCAACAGGTTTCCATCTTCATCTCTACAGGAGGATGTGCCTGCGCTAAAGCCTTCGGTTTGGTGTTTTACTCGTTGGTAAAATTTCCGGACTTCATTCTGACTCCTGTACATCTCGATTTGCTCACGCTCACGTTTCTCTTGTTCTTTCTTCTTTTTCTTAAAAAACGTTTCTACTCTCTCCATTCCAGCCGATAATTCTGCAGGGTTGCCCTATTTCACATCAGTAACATTACGACACACCTGATCGTACCATGGGTTTCTTGGTGGTGGTTTTTGGTACCCAACTGTTGCTTTTGCTGCAGTTTGGAGGGAGTGGGCAATTCTTTGCCATTGTGCTTCTATGCTATTATCGTGACAAGAAGTGCTTTCGTCAAGTAGGTGGGTAAATTGAACGGAGTAGGCCTCGGCTACCTGTTGTGTTTGCAGTTTTTCGACGTCGAGTTTCCTTGTTGTTTTAGATCGCACCTTTGCTGCAACATTAAGACGAGTGCGAACCTTGGCTGCTACAAGGTAGTGGTTCGAGTCGGTATTCCCTCCTCGGATCGACCGAACGTCTAATACACTGTATGAATGCTTTCCTTCTATCACAACATGTTCAATTTATTCTCGCTGCTTGTTCAGGAGAAATCCAGGTGGGCTTGTGTATATCGAGATGCTTGAATTTGGTGCTGCTAAATACCATGTATTTTGCTGCCGCGAAGTCAATCAACCTCATGCCGTTGTCGGATGTTTCTTCATAAAGGCTGAATTTTCCGACGGTGGGCCAGAGTTATTTTCCCTTCCGATTTTTGCATTAAAATCTCCTAGCAGAATTTTAATGTCATGGCCAGGGCAACGGTCATAAGCTGTTTCTAGGCGCTCGTAAAATATGTGTTTGGTCAGCTCATCCTTGTCTTCGGTCGGAGCATGGGCGCAAATAAGACTGATGTAGAATAACTTTTATACGGATTATAGCAATTCGCTCATCTACTGGAATGAATCTGGAGACGAGGTCTTCTATTCACCTGTTAACCATAACTCCGCAGCCAAATTCATGTCTCCTTTCATGGCAGCTATAATACAGCGCGTAATCGTCTGATTTCCTTACGCCTGTCCCTTTCCATAGCCATTCCTGTAAGGCAATAATATCAGCTTTATACTTCTTGAGTACATCCGCCAAAGCGAACACTGCGCCTGTTCTGCAGATTCGCAGATCGTGGTCCTTTATACGTTTGCGGGGTCTCCAACATTAGGGTTTTGTTTTTTTCTTTGGTTTTAATTGCGTGGCATACTTACTTTCTTTTCCAAAATATTAAGAATTATTTTTTATTAGATTTATTGGAAGCCATTGTTAAAGCATTTTTTAGATTTTATAATAAAAGCTATCTCACAAAATATGATTTTTTAAATCACTATAATAATTCAATATTCCCTGATTTGATTAAAGCTGCATTTTCATATTAATATCTAAGCCCTGCTACCATTTTTATAAAGCCTGTTTATTTCTTTTTGCGCAAATGTGGACCATCTCCCTCCGACGAACGACGTTTAGGTATAAGTTGAGTACGCGTCGATGCCGATTTCTTATCGTTACCAGTTTTAGGGGGATGCTGAAAATAAAATAAATGAAATTAAAAATTAAAAAATATATATTATAATAAATTAAATTATTAAAATAGATAAATTAATATAATAAAATTTACAAAATCATTTCCAACTACAAACCTCTGGTGGGTTTAATGAATTTTTAACGCCTACATTATAAGGGACCCCATTAAATATATATATTATTAGAATAAAATTAAAAATTTGTAATATAAGCCCGATTTCAATATATGCCAATAATTTCTTAAAATCAATTCAGTAAATATTTATTCTTGTTTTTTTTTCAGGACTTTTATTTGGATCGCAATAGCCTAACATCGGTACCATCACATTCCCTTAATGGACCCATGTCGTTGAAGCATTTGTCCCTAAAACACAATCACATAAGTATGACAAGAAAAATATTCAAATGTTATGATATGATTAAAACTATTCTCCTTTGTCTTTCAGCATTCCTTGAACCCAGCTCTTTTATTTCCCAACCCGAATTGGAAATAATCGATTTGCGTTACAATGAAATACGCGGTATTGTTGGAGGTGCCTTCTATGGTCTGCGTAGAATACGTGAAATCAAATTGGCTGGAAATAATATTGCCTATCTAAACAGTGATGTTTTTGAAGATTTAGAAACGCTACAACGATTGGATTTATCGGAAAATTTCATACAAAAATTCCCCGATGTTGCTCTGTCGGAAATTGAACATTTGAAATTTTTAAATTTGTCGTCGAATATGTTGCAGGTTTGTAGAGGATGGAATTTCTAATTTTATTTCATTTAAATTTATTTCTTCTGTACTTTAGCGCTTTGACAGTAACCACGCCCAGGTTCTTACCTCGCTGGAAACATTGGATTTAAGCCGTAATAGTATTACCGCCATACCAACTGGCACATTCCGTGAAATGAAGGCATTGAAATATTTGGATTTGAGTTTGAATTCATTGCGAACGGTAAGTAAAAATCGAAAATATTTAATAAAATATTCTCTGGCGTGGAAAACCCTCCAAAAATTATTTTTAAAAAATCCACGCCTTTGCTGGTAGCCCAAAAAATATTTTTTAAAAAATCCACGCCTTTGCTTGTAGCTCAAAAAATATTTTTTAAAAATCCACGCCTTTGCTGGTAGCCCAAAAATATTTTTTAAAAAATCCACGCCTTTGCTGGTAGCCCAAAAAATATTTTTTAAAAAATCCACGCCTTTGCTGGTAGCCCAAAAAATATTTTTTTTAAAAAAATCCACGCCTTTGCTGGTAGCCTAAAAAATATTTAAAAACAAATCCAATCCTGTGCTGCTGGCGCCAAAAAATATTTTTTCTCCTTTGCTGGAAAAGAATGCCTTTAAAAATATAACCCATCATTCGGCATTGGAAACCTTGTCTCTTCCCTCAGTGGGTTTTTTGGATTTACAGGGCATCCTGGAACTTTTACCCGCCTTGGAAATGTCAGATGTTGAGGTCAAGGATACCTCAATTGGTACGGAGCAAATTTAACCCGTCAAGCATCTAAGATTACGTTCACTGGGCATACGAGGAGATCGTTTGAAATCCATTTCCTCATGCAATTTGGCTGGTCTAAATAGTACCCAGATCCTCACATTTAACCCTAGATATTGAGAGCTCCAAAGTGCTAATACCACAAAAAAATATTTTTTAAAAAATCCACGCCTTTGGTAATACCTCAAAAAATATTTTTAAATAATCCAACCTCTTTTCCCTTTTCTTCTTTCAGATCGAAGATGATGCCCTGGAAGGTCTGGATAACCTGCAGACATTAATTATACGCGATAACAACATTCTGCTCGTCCCTGGCAACGCTTTGGGTCGTTTATCCAACTTAAATGCTCTGCATTTGGATTTCAATCGTGTCGCCGCTTTGTCGGCCGAAATTTTAGGTTCCATTCAGGCCTCCGATATACGTACCCTCACCCTATCACGCAACGTCATACGCGAACTACCCACCGGCAGCTTCCAAATGTTTAGCAATTTAAGGTCCCTGGATTTATCGGGCAATTCTCTGGCAGTAATTAGTTCGGATATTTTCCAAGGTCTGGAATCTTCGTTGAACGAATTGAAATTAGGACAAAATCGTTTGACTGGCCTCGGCAACACACCATGGACCCTGACGGAATTGCGTAGCTTGGATTTGAGTCATAATAATTTGGCAGAAATACCCAAAAATATTCTGGAAGGTTTGCAGAATCTGCAATATTTGAACTTGAGTGGTAATCATCATTTGGCCCCCATACCAGCTGCCCTGATACGGCCCTTGGCTCGGCTGCAAATTGTGGACTTTAGTTTTTGTTCAATGAAGCAGTTGTCGGGTGATTTGTTTTTGACTTTGCAGGATTTGAAGCAGATCTATTTAAATGATAATAGCATCCAGGAGATTAATGATGGTACCTTTATGGATCTTTGGAATATCAGTTCCATCGATTTGTCAAATAATCAAATTACCTCCATACGCCCTGGAGCCTTTGTGAATGTTATGAGTTTGAGGAAATTGAGTTTGAGAGGAAATCAGCTGTCAGCCTTCAAGGGAGAATTCTTTAATACCGGCACGGGGTTGGAAGAATTAGATATTTCGAATAACCACTTGAGTTACCTGTTCCCCTCATCGTTCCGCATACATCCTCGCTTGAGGGTAATTTTGGCTGCCAATAATAAATTCAGTTTCTTCCCAGCGGAATTGATTTCCAGTTTGCAATTTTTGGAACATGTGGACTTATCGCAAAATCAATTGAAAACCATTGAGGAATTGGACTTTGCCCGCCTGCCCCGTTTGAGGATTTTGAAAGTGGCCCACAATCAATTGGATATGCTGAGTGAAATGGCCTTCCACAACTCTACCCAGCTGCAGGTATTGGATTTCTCAAACAACAATTTGGATCGTATTGGGGAGAGGACTTTTGAAGGCCTTATACGTTTAGAGTCCCTGAATTTGGAAAATAATAAATTAAATGAACTGGCGGAGGGTATTTTTGAAAGCGGCAAATTGGAGCTATTGGAAAGTGTTAACCTGGCTGGTAATGGGTTTGAATATGCCCCCCTCAAGGCTCTGAGAAGGCAATTCTATTTTGTATCCTCAGTGGATTTGAGCCATAACAAAATCACCGCCATACCCAGTGATGATGATATGATGGTGAATATAAAAAATTTGGATTTGTCTTTCAATCCCCTTTCCAGGGATGCCGTGAAACACATTCTCAATGAACCCAAAACGGTAAGGGAATTAAATTTGGCTGGGACGGGAATTGATCACCTCGAACCGCTGGAAACACCTTTCCTGCAATATTTGAATTTGTCACACAATAAACTAAAGGGTATCGAACCCAAGGTCTTCGAACGTGCCACTTTGCTGGAGACATTGGATTTGTCGCATAATCTCTTGGAAAACCTAACAGAACTTTCAGAGGCCTGGCCAAAATTGCAGGTTCTGCAGACCCTGGATTTGTCGAATAACAGCTTTGAATTAGTCTCCCAGGGTGATTTTGCCCAATTGAATGCCTTGAGATATTTGAAATTGAACGATTTGGTGAAATGTACCCGCCTGGAAAAGAATGCCTTTAAGGATATAACCCATCTCTCAGCATTGGAAGCCTTCAATCTGCCCTCAGTGGGTTATTTGGATTTACAGGGCATCCTGGAACTTTTACCCGCCTTGGAAATGTTAGATGTTGAGGTCAAGGATACCTCAATTGGCACAGAGCAAATTCAACCCGCCAAGCATCCAAGATTACGTTCGCTGGGCATACGTGGAGATCGTTTGAAATCCATTTCCTCAGGGACCTTGGCTGGTTTAAAGAGTAGCGATCTCACCATAAAGTTGCAAAATACTTCGCTGACAGCATTGCCACCTGCCTTGTTGTTCCCCGTACCCAGATCATCACATTTAACTTTGGATATTGAAGGTTCCAAAGTTAGTGTATTGGTACCACAATTCCTCAACGCCTTGGAGGATCGTCGCTCCTCACTACAACTCAAAGGTTTGGCCAGCAATCCCATACACTGTGACTGCAATGCCCGCGCCTTGAGAAGATGGCTGCCCAACTCCCGCATGATCAACGTGGCATGTCATTCTCCAGCCTATTTGGCTGGTAAGAAACTTATTGAAGTTGGTGATGATGAGTTGACCTGTGATCCGCGAAAAATGACCTCCACCACCATGAGAACCACTGCCACAAATATGCTCAAATCCTCCTCACGTTTGGTTACCCGACCTGCCGTCACCACAACCGAAGAACCACCCATGATTATATGGAGTATGGAACCCACCCAACCACCACCAATGAAAATTAAAACAAAAGCACCCCTTATGAAGGCACCCATTATGACCAATGATGACACGCTGATCATTGGTATTGTGGGGGGTGTGGTGGCCTTCATAGCCATTCTAATTATCATTATCTGTATTGTCCGCTTACGTATGAGCAGTAATGATTATCATAATGGCCCCGCTGCCATGATTGGTATACCACCCATGCCAATGGGTCCCGGTAGTGTACCACTAAGTTATAAGGGAGCACCAACTGCTGCTGCGGCAGCATTGTATGCCGTACCTCCCTATGCTCAAACCTATGCCACATTACCGCACAAAACTGCCTCCATTCACCAGTCAACACAAAGTTTGGCTCAGCGTCAGCAACAGGTTCAGCAGGCCCAACAGCAGCAGCAACAACAGCAACAGGCTCAACAAACCTACTCGTCGCGAATGTCATATTTCGGCGGTTCGACACCGCAAAATCAGCAGGCTGCCGCAAATCTTGCAAATGCTCAACCCTATATTATCTATTCAGATGATAAAGCTTATAGATAAGCTTCGAACAAAAGCTTAGTTATAAAAATTAATTATAATTATAAAATTAATTTAGGTTTTAAGTTTGAAATGTGCAAAAGGGAGAGCTTTGAGTAGGAGCTTTTTTAAAAAGCTGTAGGGGAGTCTGGATAGCTGGGAAAATTGCGGAGATAAAGCTTAAAGCTCAGTAAGAATATAATATCGCAATTCTGTCAAAATAAATAGGAGGGAATTAAGGGCTAAGCAGAATGCTCGCGTTGAGCCATCCGTGTGAAAAATTTTCAAGCTCTCACGCAACAAGTAATCACCTAATGACAATAATAAATGAATTCTTTTTTTACATTTTTCAACATTTACTCCCCCTAAAGCTTTTCCAATTTTCCAGCAGAAATAAATAATGATACTAATGAAAAACAAATAATTTACATGTTAGTAAAATAAAAAATGCACACAGTCGTTATTATATTTGTATATAAGTTTTAGTAAATTTTAATATTAATAAGTTTAGCTGTTACAAAATCGAAAACAAAATTGTTTTCTACGAGAAAATTCAATTACATTTAAGATTTAAAAATTGTTAACACAAACTGCCAATTACTAAGAAAAAGTAAAATGTTATCTCAAAATAAGTTATCTTACGGAAATGTATTTTTAAACAAATTTTGAAAAAAGAACATATTTTTATATTTTAAATATATGGAAATTATTTTCAAAATTTCTTTATTCATATATTTCTAAAAATATATAAAAGGAGGATTTTCAACAACGAATTAGTATTTTATTGTGAATTTTTGGAAATTCATTTTTAAAAAAAGTATAACTTACGTATGAAATTATAATTTAATTTTAATTAGTATAGTATTAATTATTAAGTCTAATTTTAAATCAGATTTGTATTCGTAAATTTAAATACCATAGCGAATATTATTAACTGATATTTCTTTATGTGCAAATAATTGTAGTACAATAAATATACTTGCATACACTATGAATTACAAATAAAAAAATAAATATATACGAAATAATTGAAATGTATTGAGTTTATTTTTTTTTCTTTGAATTTTCGTTCGCATTACGTGAAAACTTTTAAAAATCGAATATCAGATCCATGTGTTAAGTCCAATATCAATAAATATATCTCTTTTGTAATATTTTTTACATACGTTAAATGACACCAATCAAAGCCGTGATATGTTCTCTGTACAGAATTTTGCGAACGTCATAAACTTAGAAAAAATTTGTTAAAAATTGCATGACAAAAATTATAAAAAAAGACCAGTAAGGAAAGTAGTAAAGTCGGAAGGCGCCGACTACATAATAGTCTTCACCACTTTGGGTATATTTGTCATATATATCCTAACAGACGTCGCATTTTCGAAGGAACATCGACATGAAATTGAACGAACTTAAATATGTGATCTTTCTATATAAGTGAACCGACTAACAACAATCTATTCACATGCCTTTCTGCAAGAGAGTTTTTTGCATACAATGTGACATATTTTTGTAAATCGATTAAAATCTAATTGATACACCTATTCACCAATTTAAAAAACCCAATAACGTCATCATCATAGTCTCAATTTGACACTTTGTGCAAAATTTCATATAAACCAAACATTAGGAGTTTGGTGCACCATTTACCTAACATCGGACGAAAATAAATATACGAGTTGTACGTATATCTAAATCTGAACCGATTTCAACGAAACTGTCCAGAAAATAATTAATATTAACATCAGTATATTGTACAAAATTCTATGACATTCGGACAAATTTTGGGTCATTAGTGCATAATTTACATAAAATCGGACGAATATGTATCTGGGAGCTATATCTAAATCTGAACCAATTTTCACGAAACTTGGCACACATCATTCTCGACTTAATACAGTGCGCTATACCGAAATTCGTGCAAATTGAAAGATATATATGGACTTTGGTGCCCCATTTACATAAAAACGGACGAAAATATATATGGGAGCTATATCTATATATGAACCGATTTTCAAAAAACTTAGCACACATCATTCTGGATCTAATTCAGTACACTATGCAACATTTCGAAAGATATATACGGACTTAGTTATACTATTTACATAAAATCGGACGAAAATATATATGGAAGCTATATCTATATCTGACCCGATTTTCTCGAAACTTGACACAAGTTATTCTAGACTCAATTCAGTACACGATGCAAAATTTCGTGCAAATCGAAAGATATATACTGACTTTGGTGCACCATTTACATAAAATCGGACTAAAATATATATGGGAGCTATATTTAAATCAGACCCCGACACACGTCATTCTAGACTCAATTCAGTACACTATGCAAAATTTCGTGCAAATCGAAAAATATGTAGGGACTTTGGTGCACCATTTACATTAAATCGCACGAAAATATATATGGGAGGTATATTTAAATCTGGTCCTATTTTCTCGAAACTTGACACATGTCATTCTAGACTCTATATACGGAAAATTTCGTGCAAATCTAAAGATATATAGGGACTTTGGTGCACGATTTACATAAAATCGGACGAAACTATATATGGGAGCTATATCTGAACCGTTTTTTTACGAAACTTAGCACATATTATTCTGGACCTAATTCAGTACCCTATGCGAAATTTCGTGCAAATCGAAAGATATATACAGACTTAGTTGCACCATGTACATAAAGTCGGACGAAACTATATATGGGAGCTATATCTAAATCTGAACCGATTTTCTTCAATTTAAATAGGGTTCGTCTTTGGGCCAAATAGACACTTTCCAACCGAATTATCTGTTATTTTATATTTTGAGTTCTAATTGGGTAACAAATTCCCATAAAAAGTTATTAATTATTAAATGTTGGTATTTTTAGGGTTCTACGTTTGTAGGTGTCCCCAATATAAAGAAATCCACTTTTTAATTTTTAAATTTTACAAAATGTCCTTGTAAAACATAATCGACATAGTTTTACTTCTATGTTCCTTATATAAAGATAACAAGATTTATCGCTTAGTACCAACAATTTAGCACGGTCGTAATTAACGACTTTTAACCCAATAGTTTTATTATCGATACACATACAAACTTCAAATTCTTCCCTTACCAATAGTGAAAGTTTCACGTCAATACATGCATTCATTACTGAGCTATGGCTATTTAAAGTTTACCTTGTGTCAAAATATAGCGGCTACACGATTCTGTTTGCCTATTACCCGAAATTGAAAAAAATAAGAAATTGTATGTTCACAAGAACAAACAAAATGCGGGGATAGGTAGGTGCGTTAGTTAGTACTTACGTTGTGTGTTTTCATGTTATTTTTCAAATTCTGAGCATATTTTTAGGCGTTACATGAAAAACATACCGCATACAAATTTGTAATGAATATCTTATTTCAATGTATGCATGTAAAAGTATGCTCAGACATTGTAAACTAAAAGTCAAACACACACCGAACGATCTTTTGTTTTTTTAAAACTTGGAATTTCTTCATTTTCATTTTTTTTGTGGTAATAGGCAAACAGAATCGTGTAGCCGCTATATTTTGACACAAGGTAAACTTTAAATAGCTATAGCTCAGTAATGAATGCATGTATTGGCATGATATTTTCACTATATGTTGAGGGAGAATTTGTAGTTTTTATGTGTATCGATCGATTAACACATTTATAAAATTAAGTATTAACAAAATTAATTAGTTTTTAAAAACTGCCTTTAAATTTTGGGGGAAATTAGTTTTTTAAGAAAAAAAAATTAGATTGCTGTTGAAATTTAGAGTAAATGAATTTAATTTGTTTTTGTACAAAAAATTAGAATAATTGAGGGAATATCAAGGACATAAAGAACAAATGCTGCTGTAGAAGTTCAATTACTATACGTCATGAGACGTTGTAAAATATCAATACGATTTATGAAATAATATATTTTAGATGTCCTTCTAAAATATATGGGGTCCTCAATATGTTTGTAACACCTAGATATAATGCTAAGACCCCATAAAGTATATATGCATGTTCTTTTTTAGAAAAAAATTGTATGTCGATTTAGACATGTCCGCTTGTCTGTTGAAATCACGATAGACCTCTCAATGTTTAAGATAGAGATTTGAAATTTCGTAATGATATTGGTAGGATTTTTGGTATTTCAAATTAGAGATATGGGTCCAGGTTTTTTCGTAGCTCCCAAAAAAAGTCCCGCCCAATTGTCAGAATTTTGAGGTTTTTGTAACCTTTTTCCAGCCGAAACGATCTAATTTGGTACTTTTGGAAGCTGGCATATATCTGTGCATTTCAATTTTTTACGAAAATTTGCCTTCAAAAGGGGTGTAAGTTATTCTTCCTTGTGGCCCATGGGTTACAAAATATCCTTGGAAAACATAGTCGAGATAGTCGAACGACTTTTTAGCCCATTTTATATATTTAAAACTAAATCTAATTTTACATTTTTTACACATACTCTTATTTTTATAAAAAAAATATTTTTTTTTTTGTCATCTATTTTAATTTTCAAATTCTGATCGCCTTATATATAACCGACTCCATCTTAGGAATTATACACGATTATATATATATATTATCGACATTGTTAGACGTATTGAGCTGCAGTGACTACGTTGGTCAAGTCATGTTGTGAGAATGGATGAACATTGCCAGAAGGCATATGCGTCTTTCAAGAAGGGGAAAAATAAGATGGAAAGATCAAGTGGAAGATAACATTTGCGAATATGGTCATTCAAATTGGAAAAATTGTGCAAAAGACCGACTCGCCTGGAAATCTTTTTTAAGCTCGGCTTATGGAACGAAAGTTCTGTCACAAGCCAGCTAAGTAAGTCTTAATTATTAAAGAAATCATTATCGTCGTGAATATTGTTACTTTTTTTTTTTAAATATTGTTAAAAATAATACACCGAGTTCAGCCATGCTTAAGTGTGAGATGAAGCTAAGATATGTAATATGATGCGAATGCATTCCAATTTCAGATATTAGACATATAAAGCATTTTTAGGAATCTTCTATTATCACCTTACACATGTTTATAGATTTTTAAATCATTTATCTACTATAATCTCACCATTTGTAATAGCCAATTAAAACAGGTACATGATTTTTTTTCTTAATTTCTTTTTTTTTAATATTTATATTCTTCTTTTGAAAATCTTTATAATAATATGGTATTTTAAAAAATGTTTATAATATTCATATATATATTTGGATTAATTTCAATTTTTCAATAAAGATATAATTTTTTAAAAAATTCATTTTATATCTATATTTTTAAAATGTATATGTAATTTTTTTAGGTATATGATGTAGAGGTACGTTTAAAAAACTACATTTAAAATAAAATTAAAAAACAACAGTCTTATTAAAAAAAACGAGAAGTTAATAACGATGATGAGAATCAATTCAATTGATAATTTCGAATTAATAAAAAAAACAATGTGATGTCCTGATTTAAAAACAAGCGATATACGTACAATTATAATAAAAAAAAAAAAAACAATTTTTAATATTCAATGTTTTCGTATCAAAGTTATTAATATTTTTAAAATGTTTTGTAAACAAATTTAACAAAACAACAACTTCAATATATTATAAGCTACATCACTGTTGCATATACCCAAGAGCCTATCTAAAAAAATGAAAAAGTAGATTCATCAAGGTAAAAATCGTTTAAAAAATTCACATCGCTTGAAAAAAAAATGTTCTAACATATTTTGTTTTAATTTAAAAATCGATTAAAAATTCACATCGCTTGAAAAAAAAATGTTCTAATAGATTTTGTTTTAATTTACAGTTGTGATAAATAATGTTAAATATTTTTGTATATATAAACAATGTGATGTAGCTTATAACACAAAGGACAACTATTAAAAATGTTTTTTTTTTCTTTTTTGTAATATAGGAATATTAATAAAAACTATGATAACATTTAGAAAAAATTCTCCACTTCCTGAATATTTTTTTAAATTTATTTTATAAATATCTTGTTTTTTTCAATTTTTCTTTTTTGTTTGTTTTCCTACTAAATAATGAAAATGTGAATCACAATATGTAAATGACTTGTTTTTTCGCGTCTTCTCTATGCGCAAATTGTTTTTTGTCTAATTTTTTTTCTGTTTGGGTTTTTTCTATAACAAATATTTATACATTTTTAAAAATTATGATAAAAAACAGCAGACTTTGTAAATAAATGTTTCAATTATAATAAATGCAACAACAAATTTGTTTTATGTGTGTTTGTAACAACAAAATGCAGCAATAACAAATTAAAATTTCTTATATCTAATAGAGATTAGACGAAATTAAATATATAAGGCTAATGTATTGTAATAATAATAAATGATGAAACAAAATAGATGCAGGATTGCTGTGCTTTGAGATTTGTGGTTTCGTTTGTTTTTTTGCTTTGTTAGACTTTCAAGGTGATGTCGGTGAACGGTGATTGTTTTTTGATTTTTAGGCATCCAATTTATGTGGCTAGTTTTAGTTTTTGATTTTTTTCCAAGGGGGTTGGTGTTTTGTTTTAGAACCGAAAAATGAAATTTTGTTTTTTTGAAAAAAAGAAAGAATTTTGGTTAGTAATTTGCAAAAAAGAAAGAATATAGTAAAAAAAAGTGAAGTCAAATTTTGATAGAAATGAAATATAAATTTGTTTAAGCCACCTGTGTATAGGAGAAATAGTTTTTGTAGCTGCGTCGCCTGTAGTAAACCATAACCACATATGAAAGGAAGAGCATTATTGTAATGATGGCCACCAAAATACCTGTTTGAGAGAAGAATCAATGAGATTATATATAAATATAATGAACTACTAATGAATTATGGATAATTAGGTTTTATGGAAAATATATAATTTGTTAAAAAAAAAATATTTTTTTTTATATTTTTAAGTCATTGTTCACGTTTTGTTGTATTTTTTCATATACCAGCATGTCTTGCGTAAGTCCAGTGAAAAAAAATATATTTTGGTATTCTACTGATTGCATAAAAACTTGATGTCTTATGTAATCAAGATAAAAATTCTTGATTATCTGTAGTCAACAGAATTTCTCTACGTCTTCTATATTACCATACAATATTCTATAGACACGAACAATGTTTAAAGTCTTCTGTAGGTAGTTAATACAATTAATAATAAACAAGAAATTCAAAAGACGAACGGGACCGACTAAATAATACCCTTAACCACTTTGGATACATACAAGCGATGATAATGTGTACAATATCCTATTGATAGGAAAAACATAGCATATTTGGATGTTCATTGACATGGAATCGGGTGAAAAACAAATGTGATCTACATAGATATTTGAACCAATAAAAAAGCATACACATACAATTCTGAAATCTATGAAAAATCATGTCAATCTTTTTTGTGTAATATTTGTATGAAATCCGGCAGATATATGTAAACCTTAACCGATTTCAACAACATTTCACACACATCAAACTGGACTTAATTCAGTATGCTGTGCAAAATTTTGACTGAAACGGACAAATATTGGGTGTTTGGTGCACCATTTACATAACATCGGACGAAACTACATACGGGAGCTATATCTAAATCTGAACCGATTCCTACAAATTTCGCCTACATCAATCTGAACATCTTTCAGTACTCTGTGTAAAATTTTGTCTCAATCGGACAAATATTGGGAGTGCATTATTCACATAAAATCACATTATTCACATAAAATCGGACGAAACTGTATATGGGAGCTATATCTAAATCTGCACCGATTTTAACCAAACTTCGCATACATCTATCTGGATATAATTCAGTACGCTGTGCAGTACATTGTACAAAATTGTGTGCCAGTATTCCAAACTTTTGGTCTTTAGTGCACAATTTACCGATTTTACATAAAATCGGAGGAAAGTATATATGGGAACTATATATAAATCTGAACGAATTTTCACGAAACTTAGCACACGTCATTCTAGACTTAATTTAGTACGCTATGGTAAAATGTGTTTAAATCGAAGTTTATATAGAGGCTTTGGTGCACCATTTACATAAAATCTGACGAAAATATATATGGGAGCTAGATCTAAATCTGAACCGATTTTCACGAAACTTTACACACATAATTCAAGACTTAATTCAGTACGCTATGCCAAAATTCGTGCAAATCGAAAGATATATAGGGACGTTAGTACATCATTTACATTAATTCGGGCGAAAATATATATGGGAGCTATATATTAATCTGAACCGATTTTTTCCAATTTCAATAGGGTTCGTCGTCGAATGAGCTGTGCCAAATTTCATCCAATTCGAATAATAAATGCGACCTTTACTTGTTTACAATTTAACATGGACAGACAGACGGACGGACATGCATAAATCGACTTAGAAAGTGATTCTATGCACATTCTCAAAAGGAACCATGTATCTCGTTTCCTTTTGTCTGTTACACACATATGCACAAATACATAATACCGTGTACCACAGTGTGGAGAAGGATATAAAAAATGAAGATTCAGTTTACTTTCATACACTTTATTAAAAAAGGTACTGGTATATTTCCTTAAAAAATTGCTAAAAATCGAAATCTTTGTCCCCGTTTAAAATTATTTCTGGAATAATGAACGAAAAGATCCCCACAGCGTGTCGATTGAGAGTTAACATATTAGACAAAAATATTGCTCACGTTTATATCAGTAATATTGCCAAAGACACAATTTCCCTTAAATTCAAGTGTTTCGAGAAATCCTAATCCGAATATTTTCAAATCTCTTGGAATTGGGGAATATTGTACCCCCTTTTTGGGTTATATCCCAACGTAAACTTTCAAAACACGTGTGTTCTATTTTTGACCCCTCTTTCATAATCCGTTGCAATTTCCCGGAATTATTTTTTGTGTCGCACAGTTTTTTACACTAACTAGGAAATTATTTTTTTTTCACAAATTGGCTCCTATTTATGAACTTAAGACAGATTTTTTATCTCAATTGGTGTATTTTTTATTTCCAAAAACTTACCCATTGCCGTACCAATATTCGCCTCTTCATAGGTCATCATAAGTGTTGAAAGTTTACATTCACTTTCCCAATCCTGTGGTAAAATATCACTATAAACATTGAACAATTTATTCAGGGGGCATTCGATGCCACAATCTGGTATGTACATTGGTTCCGGTTCAGCTGTGGTATTTTTATAGAAAATCGAAATAAATGGTTCATTTTTATCGTTGAGACGCATTTCCAATAAAATACAAGCAGTATAGGGTGGACTGTGGATCTACAAAAATAAAGGACAAAACAATTAAAAAAAAAAACAATAACAACAATTTGTATATAAAATGCCTTTATCAACTTCTGAACGAATTCCAGAGAGAGAGTGAAACCACCATAACCTTATTTGAAAATTTGTATTATTTTTAAATCGATAGTAGTAGCCCACTAGAGTTCGTTCGAGCAACAGGCCGTACATATCAACTTACATCAAACAATTTCAAAGTATTTAAAACATTCGAAACTGTGGTATCATGAGCCGAATAGATCCACACCGAACGATCTGGATTTAGTTTGCCCTTTGATTTATCAACAAAACGTTGTAACATTTCTTTAATTATGGGACCAGATTTCAGGCGGGCCATTTGACGTGTGTAGGTGGCAATGGAAAAAGTGAAAGCAGCCACTGCAGTCATATCGGCACTTGGATATATTTTCTTGGTCCATTCTGGCAATGTTTTATTGTAAAGTTCTTCAATAAAAAACGTGTTATTAATTCGTTGTATATCTTCCAATGTATCAACCGTACGTCCCGAATATTTTGTTAAATAATTAAATAGATAGGTATATTGATCTTTGATTTTTTGAAATTCCGCTGAGTCCATCAATGCCGAATAGGCATATTCGTAGGCTGGACAACCAGCTTTGGCAGCAAGAACCTGTAAAATTAAAAATAAAATATTTTAGTTTAATGTATATTGGGATATTTGTCGGTTATTTCTTACCGGATCCATTTTCTCTGGTGTTGTATGCACCGGAATGGGCTGCCAATGTATTTCGGGATTCCATACATCCTTGGCCACCGGTTCATACAGTCCAGCCAAATTTGATAATGCACTCATCAATGTACGATCTACATCGGTTGATCGTATATAGATCTCATCTTTATTATAGGTTTTACTCAGCAGACTGGAATAGCGTTTACGCAACCACTGGCCCAAATGATAGTGTTGTTGTTTACCAATCTGTAATCAAGAGGTAATAATAAAACAATGTGATTTATTAAATAGGAAATGAAATTATTTGTTGCTAGGGTGAAGATTTTAATATATGTAATCGGTATGCTATAATATTAATATATCAGATTTTTAGTGTAAATACATTTGTGTACCATCAGAATTAAGGCTAGTGTGGTTATATACACTTTGATATGACAAAAAGGCTATAGAGAAGACAAGGAATTGTCCGTGTGACGAATATTTATACCCTTAGCCTTACAGCTAATGAGGATATATACACTTTTGTATTGTTACAAAGAAAATGTTGAATTTTTTTTCAATCCAATATTTTTAAATGAATTAACCCAAACATTAGAAGATTTTTTTTTAAATAAGGGCACATATTGGCCCACTCCTTCTGGTACCTCCCCCACAATGTGTCAAAATTTTGAAAATCTGTTAATTCTATACCAAGCTAATGTCCGATTTGATACAAACTTTACACTTGCTTCAAAGAGCAACCAGGGACTATCACTAATCCTATCATAAGGGTCATATGATTGCCACTTGAAGATCATCGTCTTCGTGGTCGGTATATCGTATGGCTTTTTATGCCTTTGACCATGAACCTAGGAGTTAACTTCTCCAGAGGAGGTGGATACCTTTTCTGTACTCTTTTTCTTCTCCGCAGTTTGTTGCTCAACGGCGGCCGATGGGTCAGTCAGACGCGAAGTCATCGTATTTTTGGTTGAAGGTTGCGGACCTTCTGATGAGCGAATGCGCTTCACAGATTTGTTCTGCGGGGCAGTATTCGCTCTTCCAGAAGACGATGGTTCCTTGCCAAACTTGACCGTCTTCCTATTCCGACCAACGGTGGGGCTACTCAATGTCTTAGTACCTTTGTCAGTTGGCGTAATCCCTTTCAAACAATTTGGATTCGATGGATTTACAAAGGTCTGGTGCGCAAAATGACCCCTGAAGGCAGCAACCGCTTTTCATCAAAACTTTGCATTTTGTAATATTTCTTTCAAACATAAATTAAGTTAGGCTATGAGGAATATCGGCCCACTACTTCTGGTACCTCTCACACAAACCGATTTTTATGAAACATAGCACACATCATTCTAGACTTAATTCAGTACGCTATACCGAAATTCGTACAAATCGAAAGATATATAGGGACTTTGGTACACCATTTACATAAAATCGATGATACTATAAATGGGAGCTATATCTAAATTTGAACCGATTTTGATGAAACTTAGTACACATCATTCTAGGCTCAATTTGTTACGCTATGCCAAATTTCGTGCAAATCGAAAGATATATATGGCCTTTGGTCCACCATTTACCTTAAATCGGACATAAATATATATCTAAGCTATATTTAAATCTAGCACACATTTCTCCTACTTCAGTACGCCATACAAAATTTCGTACAAATCGAAAGATATATTGCAACTTTGGTGCAAATTTCATCCAATTCGGATCATATATATGCGACTTATACTTCGTTTACAATTTTACATGGACAGATAGGGTTCGCCCTTGGAACAAATAAATGAGCTGTGTCAAATTTCATCCAAATCGGATTATAAATGGTCTATCTCTATTCCTTTTGCGTGTTATGCACAAATACATAAATATGCATATGTACAAATACATAATACCCTTTACCACAGTGTGGCGGTGGTAATGGCTCACGCAAAAGGGGAAGGCCACGATTTAGGTGTAAAGATCAAGTGGAAAATAACATTTCGGAACATAACATTTTAACCGAACCCAAGAACCTAAAAATTCCAATGAAAAAATTATCAAATTAAAATATTATACCACTCAAAGGGAAATAAAACCCTGACCCCCCCATGCCAATTCATATCCATATTTATAATTAATTCACCTACATATCAATTGATAGCTTTGTTTAGAAAAAATCGGTCATATATTTTTCAAACAAAAAATAAGACATGAATAGATAAAATATAAATACTTTATTTAATCAATCGAACTGCATTGTTTGAAAATTGTTAACGTTTTGAACAAAGAAAGTAAACCACAAAATGGTGTGACTACACGTAAGTGACTAGACATTTGTAATATGCGACTGAAATAGTAGGTAAATATTTCAAAAATAAGGCAAGCTACTTTATGACGCATTATTACAAATGTCTAAAGTTGGTGGTGAGTGGCAGGGCATGCACTGGGAATAAGTGTGTAAAGGAATTAAATGAATTTAATTCGAACTCGGGAGTAATAAGCAAGATAAATGATTTTCAAAAGTTGAAACCCGGTTAAGGGTAATACACCTAATAAAAACCTTAGGTGTATTACCCTTGTCTTATAACAATTCACAGAAATCTGATAAGACAGGACACAGATAAACGCCTGCACACACACTCACTGAACACACCCTATTCCTATATCGATTGCAATTATTTCATCATATTTGCTTATCATTATATTTTTATGGTGTTTATTTATTGATAATTTTACATACATACACACACGGATTTTATTTATTGAAATAATAATTATTGTAAATTAATAAACAGCAATTTTTTACTTTTTTATTATTTTTTTATAAAACAAAGAACAAATCAAACAACTGGGTGGCGAACAATTTCCTTCAATGCCGTTGAAAAAAATAAATTATCATCTATAAAGTCCTGAATAGGAACAATAGGAATAAAGAAATTGAAATCATGTGTTTACAATCTTCCTAAGAATAGCTTGCATTATTTATTTATAGAAGAGATAAACATAACAACAGCAACAACAAAAATGCAAAAAAAAATCAACTTTGTACTGTAACTCTAATATTCGATTTGTAGTGGTTTTCAATATTTACGCATCATGGCAGCAGCAGAAGTCACGCTGCAGCTCCTAGCTAGCTGTTGCATTCTTATCATTTTGCAAAGCTGTCCGGGGGTATAAGTCGTCATAGTAAAATGGTCATTGCTGCAATTGTTGACTTATTTTATTGGATGAATGATGGACAGACTGTGCTGCAGTGTTGTCTGTCTGTCCACATTTTTGTAGTCAAGCATTCATTTAATTTAATATAAAAAAATAATGATAACTGCCTACTGCTGCACTTTGTGTTAATAAACTCATTATGAAATGATTTCAAGTCACGTGAGGAAGACGGACACAACAGAACAGAATCAATTGAATGCTTTTGCTTGGGGGCAAGTCGAATACTTGGGGGCAAGTTTGTTTGTTTGGGTTTTCATATTAAATAATAACCATGATGCTGCTAATGATGTTTGAACTCGGATTTGAGTAAAGTTCAATGAATTGATTTAATAAAAAACAATTAATTTATGTGGAATGTTATTTTAAGACTAAAAAATGTTATCAATGTAAATATTTTTGAATTATGTTTTAATACTTGCTAGATTCGGAATTGAATTAATTCAAACCAGTTTTGGAAATACAATTTTAAACATATATATTGGCGGGACCGGATATAGAAGACATTTGTCAGACGCCATGCAAAACAAAAACAAGTAAAACCAGTAAGAAAAGATAAAAATTCGGACAGGACCGACTGTATCATACCTTTCACCACTTTGGGTACATACAAGGGATGATAATGTGTACAATATCCAGTTGATAGAAAAACATAGCATCTTTGGATGACCATTGACATAAAATCGGGTAAAAACGAATGTGATCTACATAGATATTTGAACCAACAAGAAACCATGCACATGCCATTCTGAAATCAATGAAAAATTGCATGTCAAACGGGCAGACTTGGATTCTTTGGTGTACCATTTGTATGAAATCGAGTAAAATTATGTAAGGGGACTATATAAACACATGGACCTAATTTAGCAACCGCCGCATACACCATTTATTTTTTATTATCACCCTATATTCAATTTAATACCCTCTGCCAAATTTCATGTAAATCGAACAAACGTAGGCCCTTCGGTGATCCATTTGCATAAAATCGAACGAAAAAAAAAAAAAATATATATATATATATATATATATATGACCTATATCAAAATCTGAACCGTTTTCAACAAACCTTATCACACATAACTTTTTCCTCAATTAATCGCTCAATCGGACAAACTATATATGGGAGCTATATCTAAATCTGAACCGATTTTAACAAAACTTCGCCGACATCAGTCTGAACCTAATTCAGTACTCTGTGCAGAATTTTGTCCCAATGGGGAGTTTGGTACATCAAAATCGGATGAAACTATATATGGGACCTATATCTAAATCTTGACCGATTTCAACAAAACTTCGCATACACCAGTCTGCACATAAGTTAATACGCTGCGCAAAATGTTGTTTGATTCGTACAAATATTGCGAGTTTGGTGCATCATTTACATTAAATCGGACGAAAATATATATGGGAGCTATAACTAAATCTGAACCGTTATTCACGCGAATCTTAACACTCATCGTTCTAGACTTAATTCAGTACGTTATGTCAAATTTCGTATATATCCAAAGATATATAGGGACTTTGTTACATCATTTACATTAAATCGGACGATAAGATATATGGTAGCTATATCGAAATCTGAACCGATTTTCCCCAAACTTACCACTCATTATTCTAGACTCAATTCATTACGCTATGCCAAATTTTGGAGAAATCGGAGGATATAAAAGAAATTTGTTGCACCATTTACATAAAATCGGGCAAAACTATATATGGGAGCTATATCTAAATCTGAACCGATTTTCACGAAACGTAGGACATATCATTCTGGACCTAATTGAGGACCTTATGACAAATTTCGTGCAAATCGAAAGATATACAGGGACTTTAGTACACCATTTACATTAAATCGGACGAAAATATATATGAGAGTTATATCTAAACCTGAACCGATTTTCACGAAACATAACACACATCATTATATACCTAATTCAGTACGTTATGCCAAATTTCGTATAAATCCAAAGATATATAGGGACTTTGTTGCACCATTTACATTAAATAGGAGGGAAAAAATGGGAGCTATATTTAAATCTGAATCGATTTTCACGAAA